GTGTGTGAGGTGTGTTTGTGTGTGTGTTTGCGTGTGTGGGTGAGGGGGGTGTGTGAGGTGTGTTTGCGTGTGTGTGTGAGGTGTGTTTGCATGTGTGTTTGCGTGTGTGGGTGAGGGGGGTGTGTGAGGTGTGTTTGCGTGTGTGAGTGTTTGCGTGTGTGAGAGAGAGGTGGGTGTGTGTGTGACTGTGTGTGTATTTCCTGGCTCTGCTGAGAGGGCCTGGCGGCAGCGGCATCTCACAGCAATAACCACACCAGCGCCCAGACCTTGGTTTGCAAATATCTCTCTGCACTGGAGGGAACAAGGATTCCTTGGAGAAATGATTCTGGGTCTGGAATATCTTGCTGATGGACACGTGTCAGAAGGACTCTGAGCCAGCTCAAAGGGGGTCCCGCTGGCCAATCTGGGATGGTTTGAGCACAAAAATAAATAATGGGAAGTGTAGATGACAGCCCACTGAGTAATACAGGAACACGCAAATCCAAGCTGATGGAAACAGAGAGAACAGAAGGCGAGGGGAACACCCATTCTTCCTGTAGGATGGCGTCTCGTAAATGGAGGAGGTGGTGGGCGTGGGAGTCCCATTCCGGTCTGATGTCTCTGTAAAAGTATTTGCTTTTAACTCAAGTGAACACACTTTTCCAGAACTCCGCAGATTGGCTATCTGCCCTCCTCCTGGGTACAGTATGCAAGACATTTTTCACAGTCTGCAGTCCATCTTGGGAGCCCAGCACCCTGATTGTTTCCTTAACTTATACACACTAAAGTTTGCTCTTTGTGAGTTGTTCTGTGGGCTTGATGATGGCCACCATCACGGTGGTGCGCCCCCCCACCCCCCCGCCGCCACATAGGGCTGTCAGCACCCTGCAGAGCCTCTGTGCTGCCCCCTGTAGACGGGAGCCCCAGTCCCCCACCTGCCGTCATGCTGTCCCAGAAACGTGCCAGCAGGGGAATCATGCTGTAGGTGGCCTTTTGGCTCATAGCAGAAGGCATCCGATATTCCTGTGGGTTGTAGCACGTGTCACAGTTTGTCCCTGTGTGTCACTGAGTGGAATTCAGTGGTGTGGAGGCACATGGTTGGTTCCCCAGCCTCATACTGAAGAGTCGCGTAGAGTTTGGGCAGTTAGGAACAGAGCTGCTGTTTGTATACAGGCTTTTGTGTGAATAATTAAATTCACTTGGGCAAACTCGTGAGGGTGGGATTGCCGGGCCATCACAGTTAATTCACAGAGGGAGGGAGGAGGGTGAACTCACACTTTGGCAGCACAGGGAATGGCAGGAAGAGCCCGGGAGGCTGGTCATGGGGCATGTGTCGCAAAGCTCACTGGCACATGGTTGATGGTGCCCCTGTGGGATGGCCCATGAAGGTGTCAGGCCTCAGGCATCTTGGATACAAAGCCCTTCCTTGGCTGAGGTGCCCTCAGCCAGGTAATGCATACCATCTGGGCCCCTCTCTGGAAGGTGTCCCCTGCCTTTCTTCAGCATCAGGCTGGCTCCAGCATGCTGGCATTGGTCCAGGTGGGATACCCGGTCTGCTCACCTTGGAGGCTCATGGCCTCTCTCCTCTTGGTTTGGCAGTCAGGGCCGGGACCTGAAGTTGCGCCTGTGGGACCTGGCAGAGGGCAGGAACGCCGTCGTGGACTCTGTGGCCCTGGAGAGCATGGGCTTCTGCAGGAGCTCCGTCCTCGCTGGGGCTCAGGAGCGCTGGATGCTGGCTGTGCCGGGGAGAGGTAGTGACGAGGTGAGTGCCAGCCTGCCTGGCGCTTGGCTTCACGAGCTGCTTGCACTTGGTTCCCCATCCTGAACACCTATTAGGGGATCGCTGTGCCTGCCCCAGGAGCCCCATGGAGTGCCAGGCTGCAACTCCAGGGGCCTTGGTCTGGCTGCTGCCCCAGTACCCAGTACTGCACGGCGTGGGGCTTGAGACCATCAGGAGTGCAGGGGCAGAGACTGCCTGGAGAGGTCCTCAAAGGACTTAGGAGCAGGCATGCATGGTGGGGAGTCTCGGGCAGGCCAGCAGGAGATGGTGGGAGAGAAATCGTGGCCTTCTGGTAGTCTGGGCATCAGGGGCAGCCTTTTGGGTTGCTGAACTGAGTTCTGGCATGAGAGGCCTTGATCCAGACTTGGAATGCTGAGGGTTGGGGGAGGCTGGCACTGGGGTAGTAATTGCAGAACAGAGGGTGCAAGTGAGAAGGGAACTCAGAGAACGGGGCTCCAGGTGGGCGTGATGGAGCCTCGGCGGTGACTGTCAGATGGAGCTCAGGCCAGAGTGGGCAGCATGTCCACACCCCCAGAGGCAGAAGAGGCAGAGTCCGCCAAGGGGAACAGGTGGTGGGAGGGTAAGGTGGAGGATGAGGGTGTGGCTGGAGGGGCCAGCACTTGGGGAGCTGAAGGGAAATTCAAGAAGAAACCCAGGAGCAGCAATTGGACAGGCCTGATGAGTGTTGGGGGCATAGGCGCTCAGGGTCTGGGCCGAGTGTGGGGCGCCAGGGGCTCTGAGCCTGGGGCAGGGAGGGCCCGGGGGTGCACACATGCAGGGAGAGGGAGCCTCCTGTCTGCCGCCCACGGCCATGTCTCTCTGTGTTCCCTGCCGGCCCCAAGGGGCTGTGCGGCAGGCGGCGCTGGGCAAGGACACGGGGCCCCATGCCCACAGCAGCGAGGTTTGGCCCCTACCCAAGAAGACTCGTTTATCTTAAAGCAGATTCCGTTCATAAATAATGAGAAAGGAACAGGCATTTATTTGTTCATGATTGCGCTTAAATCGCCAATTAGGAGCTACATACACTTTTCTTGCCAATTTGCCAAAAACCTGTTAAAAGTTTTATGAATGTGAAAAGAGAGGGGTGTGCTTCCTCCTGGACAGCCAGGGCCAGGCAGCGCCAAGCCTCGCTCCTGCGCTGCACGCCGTAGAGCCCAGCTCTCCCCACTGAGGCGGGGATGCCCCGTGCTGCCTTCTGCTTCTCAGCCTCTCTGGGCCTTCCTGGCTGCACGTCCCACCCCCGGTGTCTGGCCCCTGACACCCAGAATGTGCTGCTCCAGGTTGTTTTTAACTGGCTTGCTGGCTCCCTCGTCGCCAGTGCAGGCGGCACCTGTGGTTTTCAGGAGCAGCCAGTCCAAGGACCTCAGATATCCTGGGAAAATGATTGTTTTCCACGTTCCCACCTGGAATCTGCCTGGATGGAATCTGCTTGGAAAGGCATTGCTGGCCTATGCCCAGACAACGCCCAGGGAGGACATGCTCCCACCCTGCTCGGCCATCTGGGTGGCCACGCTTGCCCAAACCAAACATTTTACCTTCTGGAAACTAAGGTTGCAGTCGAGTGCCACATGGAAAGTACACTGGTATCTGGAGGAGGCTCTGAGTGCAGGCGTCCAGGCCCTTGCCAGAGCCCAGAGCCCAGAGCCCTTTGTCGGACTCACAACGGCCCCTGGGCTTGCCTAGGTCCTTGGGCCCTGGGCTCCTTGCTCTCCTACACCCAGGATGTGGCTGTGGGTACTGCCACTCACTCTTCCTCCCATAGTGTCTTGCTGAGGCTTCGGGGCTGTCCTGGTTTCCCCCTCTCCTCCCCAAGCTGACTTGCAGGGTGACTCATCCCTACCTGAGTCCCTTGCCTTCACACCCCTCCTCACTGCCACCAGAGGAATCTTCCTGGGCCCACAGATTGGGAGAGGCCATCCCTCACCATACCTGTGTGCCCTTGTACCAGGCCATCCAGGGTGTGGGCCCATGCAGACTGTGTGTCCAGGGACTTCTGTTTCTTCTTGCATCCATCTCCCCATGAGCACATGTAAGCAATCAGGGTCTTCCCCCCAGGTCCCAACTACCCAGTCAGTATTTTTTTTTTTTTAATATACTTAAAAAAAAAATTTTTTTTTTTTAGTGGGAGGAGGGGTAGAGGGAAAGAAAGAGAATCTTTTTATTTTTTAAATTTTTTTAAAAAGATTTTATTTATTTATTTGAGAGAGAGCATGAGTCGTGGGCAGAGGCAGAGGGAGAGAGAGAAGCAGGCTGTCCACTGAGCAGGGAGCCCCATGTGGGACTCAATCCCAGGACCCCGAGATCATGATCCAAGCCAAAGGCAGACGTTTAACAAACTGAGCTACCCAGGCACCCATATTTCTTTAAAAATTTTTTAAAGGATTTTATTTATTCACTGATAGAAAGACTGCACAAGCAAGGAGAGCAGCAGGCAGAGGGAGAAGGAGAAGCAGGCTGTCGTCTGAGCAGGGACCCCGATGTGGGACTTGATCTCAGGACCCTGGGATGATGACCTGAGCTGAAGGCAGACGCTTAACTGGCTCTGAGAGAGAGAATCTTAAGGAGGCTCCACACTCAGCAGGGAGCTTGCTTCTCCCTCTCCCTCTGCCCTCACACTGCTAGCAGCTTTGCTGCTTTGCCATGTGTACAGGGCTGGGTGCCCAGGTGTCCCGACCCAGAGGAGCAGTTCTTTGTCTGTTCTATGGAGCATCTGGCCTCCCAGGTGAGCGTGCCCTGGCTGGGGCCCACAGGCTTCCCACAGTGTCTACAGCTGATTCTCAAACAGTAAGCCTGAAATTGAGTCGCTGGTACTCACTGCCAAGGACACAGAGGCTCCGAAAGCCCCCTCCCCTTCTCCTGGGTTTTCACCTGACTTCTGGGACATCCTTAGGTTCTGCTGTGTCTTGGTTGCCACGTGACTTTTCTTGCATGTCTTTTTATTTTGCTAGAGCTCCTCCTTGAGCCATCTTTGCTGTTCCAGGGGCTCCTAGCAGCCTCTTAGTTGACGACAGTAACAACCGCTCACATCACTGAGGGTCTTTTCTGTCTCCTTCGTGGGCAGTGAGGGCTGCGGGGGCTGGTATGGACACTGATCCTGCAGGCCCCGCAGACGCTGGGGGAGCCTGTATGTGTGTGCGTACGTAGGTGTGTGCCTCTTTGTGGGGACGTGTTTGTACTCTGCAGCGAGCCCCTCCCCGAGGACACTGCATGGGTCTCTGGGAAGAGCCCTGCCAAGAAGGTCCCCACAGCCTCAGCCTGTGGGTTTGCCACCCCCATGCAGGCCTGCAGCTGGGAGGACAGGGCCACCATGCCACTGGCTTTCTACCCTGCCTGCAGGGTGCCCTCGGACAGACCCAGCGTGCAGGTAGCAGATCGTGAGAGGACTCAGGACTTAATCTCAGGCCTTGGGCTGGTTCTCCCCTGTGGGTTAGTGAGAGCAGCCCAGCTCACACCCACCTGCCTCCAGTTTACTGGGTGCTGAGACAGCAGGCCAGCTGTCCCTTCAACGCCCACCACCCCTGCCCCAGACTCTTCATCTGCAAACCAGAAGATGTCCTCTTATTGGCGAGGGACGGTGTGGCTTCATAGTGGCTGCACACTGTCAGCTCAGCCCCTCTCACTGGCATCAAGGGGGCCCGAGGGCTGGTCGAGCCTTCCCATCATGGAGTGGCAGGCCTGCTTCACATGGAATCCCCTCTACCTCCAAGGACCACAGGAGGGGGCGCCCTTGTCCGTTTTTGCTGGAGATGAGGCAGTAGGGATGCAGATGGCGGGGGGCAGTTTCTGGGCGGCAGTGCTCTAGTGCCCAAGCCTGCTCCTTGTGACTGCAGCTATCCCCTGCAGATGGTATGGGGCAGAGCTTGGCCCAGCTCAGATGGACAGGCCTGAATGTGACCTGGCTGTGTGGACCAGAAAGGCACATCTTCCAGCCCGGGCACAGGAGGGCCTGCCCCTGCATTCAGGTGACACAAAACACCACTGTGATACCCAGTATAGAGGTGCGGGGCGTCGGGACCAGCCAGGCCCCAAACACAATTCCCCTTGGTGCACACGATGTTCATTTCCTAGACTTGCTGGTGATCCCCAGGGGTCCCTTGTGCATTTTTTTTTTCTTTTCTTTTCTTTCTTTTTTTTTTTTTTAAGATTATTCATTCATTTGTCAGTGAGAGAGAGAAAGAGCACATCAGGGGAGTGGCAGGCAGAGGGAGAGGGAGAAGCAGGCTCCCTGCTGAGCAGGGATCCCGGTGTGGGATTCTATCTCAGGACCCTGGAATCATGACCTGAGCTGAAGGCAGAGGCTTATATAACCGACTGAGCCACCATGGTGCCCGCCCCCACATGCACTTCTGTAAACCATCCGATGCACCTGAGATAGTTCAGAGTTGTTCACATGAAAGCCCACATCAGGAAAGAGAAGGAGGCAGAGATCGGGAGGATGGGTAAACTGAGTCAGTGCCCAGCAAGCCCCCTGCTCAGTGAAGAGGTAAAATCAGGAAAGGCCAGAGGTGGTGATGCTGGTGAGAGGGACATGCCGGTCACTCAGGAATGACGTGTGAGTTTCACAACGCCCAGCAGCGCCTGAACCCACGAGCCTGTGCGGCCTAATTAGGAGGCTCGGCTCCCAGGTTCCTCTGGGGAGCAGACAGAAACTCGCAGCAGCCTTGGCTAATCGCCTTAAAAGTCTCTTGTTTGTATAGCACAGGCTCGACTTGGCGCCTGCCCAAATCTACTTGTTTTCTTACCGTCAGGTTCAGATTCTGGAGATGCCATCTAAGACGTCAGTGTGCACCCTGAAGCCGGAGGCCGATGCCAAGCCAGGCATGCCCATGTGCCTGGAGCTGTGGCAGGTAAGGCCCAGCGCACGCCAACCACGCCCTGCCAGTCACGCCTTCCAGGTCATGAATCATGCCCCATTCAGGATTTGGTTTATTGTCAAACCACGAGCCCCCTGGGAGCCTGTATGCATGCTGCCTTCTGCAGCCTCAGTGTCCCCCCGGGGCCTCCTGCTGCCCCCCTGCCGCTGCTGCTTGTCTTACAAACTGCCCTGGGGCGGGCCTGGCTTATGCTGTCCTCTGCAGGGCGCCCCCCCCCACCCCCCCGCACCGGCCCGGGGAGTGAGGAGGGACAGCTGGGTCAGCAGAGCATCCCCCTCCTGCAGAGGGCCACGAACTCCGCTCCTCTTCGCACGCCCACGTGCAGCCCTGCACAGGGCTAGGAGGGAAGTGCTGACTAACCCTGCAAGCCCACTCGGCCACTGCTTGGCTGGGGATTACCTTCTGTGACTTTTTTGCCTCCAAGTCAGGAGTGGGCTTAACATGCTGACTTTCCCTGCGGCCACACTTGGCATTTCTGATTTACAGCCATTTCCTTCTTTCTTGTCTATTCTTTCTGCTTAGAGAGGGTCAGAAGACATCTCCTGGGGCTGGCAGCTGAAGCCTAGGACCAGGGAGTGGGTCACACTCCAGAGTCCTAGCAGCATGGATTTTGGCTCCAAGGCAAAGAGTGAGTCTTGGGAGGGATCCTCCTGGGCCCGCCCACTTGCCTCTACTAGAAGTCCCATCCCTCCACAGGGCACAGCCTCCTCCTGGCCAATATGGGACAGCACTGGCTCAAAGTGTACTACTGTTCTGCTTCTCAGGGCTGCTGCTGTTTGGGGCAACAGAGCTGATGATCTGGTGTGTTCACCTGGTAAGAATGCCAGGTAGCATCTTTGCTGTGACAGAGACCGCGGTAGATAGGTCCTTGACCGGTGCCTGCCTTGGAAAGCACGGCTTACAGCCATTTTCCCAGCTCTGTTCAGTTCACCAGCACCTTCTAGGAGCTACCTGAGCCTGCCTGAGATTGGGAGGAGGTGATCCTGCCTTGTGCCGCGCTGCTTGTTTGCACTTCTCCCAAGATGGGCTTGGGCACTTTGGGGATGTCTGTGGGGCCAAGAGGACCCACAGGGCCAGGTACGCCACCAGAGCCCTTGCCCCACGCTTTTCGTCCCTCCACGGACCTGCGCCTTCTTGCCATTGGTTTCCCCCTGTGCAGTTTCTTCACGAACATTCCAGTTGGAATTTGTTTCGATAAGCTGATTCCACCGCTCAGAGACAAGCCCACGGGGAGCTGAGCAGAGGGGTGGGGGTGGGGCTGCAAGATGACCGTGCTCCTGGCACCTGCAGGTTTGTGGCGGGGAACCGCCTGAGGTCTGGACGCCTAGGGCTGCGGTGTGGTGCTCACACTTCCGGGCAGGACCTTGCGGCTGCACCCGCTCACTCTGCTTCCCTGGAAACACTGTCATTGCGTAATCATGTAAAAATTCCAGCAGAAAAATGTATAGAAACGGGATGTACAAACTTGTTAAGGTAATTAATATAGTTGACAGAAGGACAAATCGAGTTTTTGTTAGTTGATACAGATCCAACGCAAAGCGTTCTGTTAAAAGAGAGTCGACATTAATTTGAAATGTCCTTTTTTTTCTCTTCAGACCTGAAGGTCCAGGTTGTAGTTTATTAATCTGAGTGTGGCAGAGGGACCTGACATGGTATTTCTTACTGAAACATTCAGATGTATTCTTCTTTTTTAATCCTTTTTTTTTTTAAAAAAGATTTTATTTATTAGGGAGAGAGGGAGAGAACACCAACAGGGGGAGGGGCAGAGGCAGAGGGAGAAGCAGACCCCTTGCTGAGCAGGGAGCCTGATGTGGGGCTCGATCCCAGGATCCTGGGATCATGACCTGAGCTGAAGGCAGACACTTAACCGACTAAGCCACCCATGTGTTCTGTATCCTTTTTTTTTTTTTAGATTTTTAAAAAAACTTTATTTGAGAGAGCATGCAAGTGGTGGGGAGGGGCAGAGGGAAAAGAGAAAGTAGATTCACTGCCCAGCGCCACACCAAGGGGATCCACCTCTGCACTCTAGGATGAAGACCTGAGCGGGAAGGCAGATAGACTGAGCCACCCAAGCACTCCAGATTCTTGTTTGGCTCTTCAAAGGGGCCGACTTGCATTGAATTAGGTTGATTATCACATTAAAGCTCAGGAATACTGATTACAGCAGCCCTGAGAACAGGCTTTCAGACCCTGGGCCTAGGGTCCCCTCTAGTGAGCTGGGAGCTCCCTACAGTACTGATCCCAGCAAGTGCTGTAGGCGGGGTCTGCCTGCTGGGGTCTCACCCAGTTAGGACACCCAGTGACAGAAGACACAAAGCAAGTCCTTCTGGCAACTTTAGGTCCTCGCCCCAGGGAGATCAGCCTGTCCCCAAAGGCCTGAGGCCATGAGACTGCTGTTCTACCTGTCGCGCCTGTAGCTGGGGTCCTCAGGGGCCTTGCAGCACGGATGGGGAGCAGCAGCCATCAGGGCTAGAGCTCAGTGCTTGGTCACCCTCAGCAACAGTGAGGCGAGCCCCTGCAGGTCGGTCTGGCTCCTATTCTGATAGGTGGGTGACTGGCATGCGGCCAGTGAACGAGCCGAGACGCTCAGAACCGAGAGACCACGGGCATGCTACAAACTTGGGCTGCAGAGACAGACCAGAACCAATGTGTTGGCACTGAGAGGAGCAGCGCCCTGGGGCGGCGGAGTGGAGGAGAGGCTGGGCAGAGGCAGGGTGGATGGGAAAGCTGGCGACAAGACAGATCACTCCCCTGAAGGGAACAGACCCAAGTGGGCCCCAGGTGAGCTCTTCAGAGCTGACCTCTTGGGTGGGACTGGGCAGGTCTGGCCAGGGGGTTCGCATGAGTTCCTGGTCAACAGACAGAGCACTGGGCTGTTCTCATCTGGCTCTCACCCTCCTAGCAGGGTCCAGATATGGTTGCTCATGGGGGAAGTCCCTTTCTGGAGAGGCACAGCGGCCTGAGATGAGGTACCTGAGCAGAGGGCCTAATCGCTTCTTCAAGCAGTCTATACGTGTCTGGAGAAAAGCCTTATAAATAATTTCATGCTGCACAAATAGTTTCCATTCAGGTAACTTGAAAGATACCAAAGTGGAGCTCTTCCCCATTACAGAACTGCAGAGAAAGCGTACCGACCCTGACGGGTTTGCATGGGAGGCCAGACGGAGGCAGGGATCACGCTCGGCTGCTCCCAGCCTTGATCCCTCCGTGGCAGCATCAGCAGGCGGGTGCACACACAGGGTTCATGGTCATGGGGCCCTTCTCCTAACTGCTTGCTCAGTCGGGCCCACTGGGGCGGGGGTCAGCCTATAAGAGGCCCTCGGGAGGGGCATAGGCTGCCACAGGCTAAGTGAAGCTAGGAGCCGTTCTTTGTATGTATGAACACGTATTATCATCAGAAAAAAAATGTCGAGCCGTTCCTGTGGATGTGCGGGAGATATCCTCCAGGCTAGCTGCCATCTCCTTCTGATCAAAGAGCCACTTTGCATCAGGCTCCCCCTGGCTCCCTTCACTAACCAGGGCCCCAGTGACGTACATCGCACCCTAAAGCCTCAGTTTCCCCTTCTGATACACAGAGAGAGCCCTGCTTCCAGGTGTAGAGGATATAGTGTCCTCTTGTTAGACACATGATCTGGTGCCTTTTGGCTGAACCCAGTCACCTTGCTTAGCCGAGCAAAGGTTCTTCTGATGTGTACAGTGTTGGGGCCTAGAGCCCCTCGGGGTGGGTGGAAGCACCCACGCAGCTCATAACGGGAGCTCCAGCAGGTGGGGAAGGAGAGGCTCCCTGGTGCCATCAGCCCGTGACCCATGAGGCCCAGGTACTCTGCTCAGTGTCAGCCTTGCCGCCAACAGGGGACTGACTGTTCTGGGAGTTGCAGGTGACCCAGGAAGCAGTCTCGCTGAGCAGCTCCAACCCCTCTGCCGCCAGGACCCCATTCTTACCACTGCATGCAGAGGCCAGGCCCACAGTTCCCGGAGGCTCAGCTGAGCTCCTGGCTCTTGGAAAATTCACTGGGGAGGGGGTGTGCTCAGTTATTTCTGACATTTGAGTGACACTGACCCCAGGCAGCTCAGCAGGAAATGCAGAGACGAGTGAAGAGCAAAAGGCATCGGCAGGCGTGTGCTTTGCCCCAGAAGCAACCTGGGTCCCTGTCCTGGAGACTGGGCACCAAGCACAGGGCTGCCACTTTCAGTGCTGGGGTGACACGGCGTCCCGAGGCGCTCCCCTGGAGTGGTTGCTGAGGTGAGATAAACGAGGCGTCTGTCCCGGGTGCAGAGCCCTCTGACCCGCGTCCTCATTCATCACAATAGCTCAGGGCCGGCAGAGCTCGGCTCACACCAGTCAGCGCCCTGGCGACTCACCAGGCCTGGGGGGGTGGGGGGCTTCCGCGGCGACATTGACAAAGCACAGAAAGTTCATTTTTCATTGAGATGGAGTTCGCGATTTCCTTTGGCTGGCAGTTCTAGACAGGTGACCGGCCCCACGAAGGGGTGGCCACAAGTCTCAGCCTGCAGAAAGGAGGCAGGAGGAAGCTGCAGCGCCCGTCCCGGCTGGCAAGCAGCAGTAGCCTGGCAGCGTGAGGCGGGGGCCGTGCCGGGCGACCTTGGGCTCGGCGCCCTCCAGTCTCGGTCTTCAGAGTGTGCCAATGCTGGCTCGTGCCAGCCTGGTGCCGCTGGTGTTTGCTCTCAAGGGGACACACGGAGCCTCCAAACTGTTAGGGCCATGTGGGGAACACGGGGAATCGGTACCTGGCTGGGCCACCTCCAAGGCCCAGCGGGGGAGGCCGCCCCTCTCCAGAGCCCCTTCTCCCCCAGAATGTACTGGAGCCTTCTTCGGGAGCTGACTGCTGTGCTGTCCCTGCAGGCCGACTCCAGTCCCCGCCCACTCCTCCTGGCCGGCTATGAGGACGGATCGGTGGCCCTGTGGGACGTCTCTGAGCGGAAGGTGTGCAGCCGCGTCGCCTGCCACACGGAGCCCGTCATGGGCTTTGACTTTGACTCCCAGAAGGCCAGGGGCGTCTCGGGCTCCGCGGAGAAGGCGCTGGCTGTCTGGAGCCTGGATGAGCAGCAGGCCCTGCAGGTCAGTACGCCAGACCCGAGGTGTCATTTATCCTGCTTTGCACTAACAGTCTGATAGGCTGAAACAATATTTAGGCATGAAGAGGAGTTGTTGCAGATCCCTGGCTAATTAATCACCGTGAGGCGGGGTGCAGGCCAGCCTGTCCGCGGGGCCGGCGCAGGAAGAAGGGGGCGTGGGCGCTTGTGAACCGTTCACATGGTTTGGGTTTCTCTCAGACCTCGGGTTAACAGCAGTCACGTCTTGTCCATCTAGAGAAAAGGCATGTAGAGTCCAGGGGTAGGCAAGTCCATTTGCAAAGACTCAGAGGAATTCGGTAGGTAAGGAACTGATTAATCAACCCAAACCAACCCAGTGTGGAGAAACCCATGGAGTCACGCCCCCCAGGGCAGTCTGCAGGCCAACCCCAGGGAAGCTGTTCCTCTCTGCCTGCCACGACAGGGAAGGGGTGTGAGTCCTCAGGCCAGAGCGGGGTGTTCCCATGAAGTCTCAGTGGACTTTCCCTTCCCACATGGCTTGTGGAGCACTTGGAGGCCAGGTCTGGGCCTGTGGCTGGTACTTGGCCTACAGTGGCCCAGCCTGCACCCTTAGCCCTGTTTGGGACCTTGGGGGTAGAGTTGGGGGTCGGGGAGCCTCCTGTCCAGGCCTCACATGAGGGCAGGTCCCAGGGGGGCTGCAGGTCCCAGGATGAGAGGTTTGATGCCTCTTGGCCCCCAGAGGGTGGCCTGGTGCACTCTGGCGTCTTGGGGTGGCTGAGGAGTCCCTATTAGCCAGGAAGCCTTGGAAGGAGGAGACTTGGCCATTTGACTAGCTCGTGGAAGCTGCGTGGAAGGGCAGCGCTCTAAACCCAGGTCTGGTTGGGGAATAGGGCCCCAGTTGGGAAATGCGTGGCCCTTGGGGAGACTGCCAGCAGAAGCAGCGGCAGGCTCGGCACCTGGCCTTACCTGGGCGCTCATCGCTGGAGTGCTGGAGGACAGGACTGCCCCTCTGTGTAGGAGCTGTGGGGGAGAAGAAGGCATCTCCCCTCACCAGGTGGTAAAGCCTTTCTTGCTAGCCTGGCAAGCCTGCTGTACCTCACACTCGCCTGGCCTGGACCCTCACAGACAGAGGAAAAAGATCTGGGCAGGCCAAGCCCCTGAGGCACGACGTGGGTTGGAGAGGGGCGGGGTGGGCCCCCAGGGAAACTAAGGGCGTGCTTCAGTGCCTAGCAGGTGTCACGCATCCTGGGTGCTACCCTGGGCAGGGGAAGGGGGTTGTGGCATTGCCACCAGGTCATCCCAAAAGAGGGACGGAGCCAGGACAGCTGGGGCAGGGGTCTTACGTGGTAGGTGAGGAGTCCTGGGGAAGACAGAGGCTGAGAAGAAACAAGGCAGCGGGGTGCTAGAGGGAATGGTGACGGACAAAGAGGCCCAGAGACGGACACAGCTCAGGCAGAGGGAGACCTGGGAAGGGCGCTTTCATGTTGAAGCTGGAATTGGGACTGGCATCCTAGAAAATGATCCAGAGCAAGTGACCAGCAGCGGCAGGGAGGAGCTGCCTACTGTCCTAGTGTGAGGCTGCCTGGTGTCTCTCCGGGTGGGATCAGAACAGGAACCTGAAGGTGGGAGTGGCTGGCCAGAGCCCAGCAAGAGAGGGGAAAGTGGGTCAGTGTGATATTAAGGGACGGGTACACATTTATGCTTCCTCAGCACTGCTCTTCCCCAGCAGATCAGCTTGTGGCAGTACATGGCCAACTTAGAGTAAAGGCAACTAGCTGTCTGTCTTTCTGTCCTTCTTTTGTCTTAGAGAGCCCATGGAGGCCCTGGGGGAAGGGGGGTTAGACAGGCCTCCAAATGGGGCCAGGCCTGGCTGTGGTGGGGCAGAGCTTCTCATGCCTCTGTCCCAGCAGAAAGGCCCCAAGCCCTTGGAATGGTGGACCTGAGCAGGAATGGGAGTGAATGTCGTCGTGATGGGTGTCATCTTTAAGACTGGGGCAGAGCCAGGCTGGTGCTGGGTCTTCCTGTCCTCAGCAGAGGAGGGCATCTCACTGGGTGTTGAGCCCAGCCAGGTAGGCCTTGGAGTTCTCTCTTACACCCCTCCTTCCTGTTCCTTGAGCCTGGTGGGGACAAGCCTGGGTCTCCACCTTCCCACTGTGGGTCCCGGGCTCCATCCCACTGTGGCTTGAATTTCATCAGCCTGACCTTGCAAAAGGCGGAAGACTCGGGGTGCTTCCCTGAGAACCCCACCCCAGACTGTAGTACCCCCAGGACCCCGGGAAGGGTCCCCTCCTGCCGACCTGGCCCAGATCTGCCTGGTCTCTGCCGGCTTGCTGGGGAAACAGCTGCTGGAACTTAAGACTTAAATTTATGGGGCACGTTCCAGTCCAGAGATGAACTTTTACTGTACTGATGAACTGAAAAGTTAAAGCACAGAGGATTATTAATGAATTTGAAAGTTAAAGCAGAAGGGGAACCAGGCACCGCGGGGTGGACGTGGTGGTTACGTGACGGTGTTACTCAGGGCTCTGGGCCCCACTCAGCAGCACACATCAAAGCAGGAGGACAGTGCCCCTCCCGCCGAGCACAGCCACTGAGAACGGCTGCATGTCGGGTTCCAAGTTGGCCCCAGAGGCCCTGGAGGTTTTCAGGTTGTGACACAAGGCCCCTGAGGAGGAAGTGGCAGGGGCCGGTGCCCACAGGCATCCACAGGCATCCTTGCCCCGAGGTCCTTGGTGCACCGTGCTGGCTCTCTGCTGCAGCTGCCTTCCCTGGCCCTTGAGCCACGTGGGCACAGATGGGCCTCACCTCACAACCCGCTGCTGGAGTCTCTAATGAGCCCAAATCAATCTCTCCCGGGCGGGCGCTGGGAGCAGAGACGCAGATGAGGTTTCCCGCAGCAGAGCGTGGGTAATGAGAACCAGATGGCGGCCGCGCCGCGTGCACATTCCTGGCACCTGAGGTCATGTGCTGTGAGAGCCACTAGTGGCCAGGGATCCCTCCGGGATGGGTGCGGCCAGGGACCGTGGCAGTGACCGGGAGCCTTGGGCCACCCTCCTCAGGACACTGTGGCCTCGGGGGCACGTGGCAATGCTGGGCCACTCACTTGCCTTCCAGAGGTGGCTTTTCCTCCAGCCTCCAGGGGATCGGGCCTTGGCTGTCGTCAGACACAGGTGGTGTGCAGACCTGCTCCTTCCTCCCACACTTGGGCAGGGCCCATGGCCTTGAAGCAGGGGCTGATTTACGGCCAGCAGTATTTTTAGGCCTTTAAGTAATATTGAACCACTCCCCGCCCCCCACCCGGGCAGCCTGGACTGGGAATCGGACCAACCACGCTTCCCCGAGGTGCACCCACGGCTGGTTGGCCAGGTGTCCGCTTGTCCTGCTGTGCATCTGCTGCCCTTTCTCCCAGTCCCCACCCTCTAAATTGTCAGCGGCAGGACCTGTGGACCTGAGACCAAGCAAATTGTGGACACAACTCAACCCCCCATAGCCATCTCAGGAACACAGCAGAATAAGCAAGGCTCTGGCAGCCGTGACCATGAACGGACCCTGTTGGACCCTCCTCGGGAGTCTCCTCCTCGGGAATACAAGCGCAGGATAGGGACTGGCCTCTCGTGGTTGAGGTCGCCATCAAAGCTTCTGCTGCTGCTTCTCTTCTTTCCTGCCAGGGGAGCCTACTTTCTGCCTTCACTTCGGGACCAGAGTCACTCCTGCCCCCGTGGGCAGCGCTGGGCATCTTCGCTCCTCCCAGGTAGTAACATGGCGTGGAAGGTGTTCTGTGCCCTAGACCCAGCTTCCAGTGTGTGAGAACCACGGCTCCGGGGTGTCTATGGAAATTCAAATTCCTCTTCCCCTTGCCTTTGGTTCTTGATGATCGTCAGCAAGAGCAGACTTGAAAGCAGCCCTTTTCTCCCTGGAAAATACTCCCCTATGGAATATGAAGGAGGTGACCCTGAAGCAGGACCCCACATGGGTTCCAGGGAGCCCATGGCTCCAAGCCCAGGGGTCCCCTGGCTACCCCTGGCTTAGGGCAAAGTCCACAGAAGAGAAAAGGATGAGGGATGGTGATGGTCATCAGTTCTCATTTCCAGCCCCGTGTTCTGGTCCGTGTAAGTGGAGAGGGGTTCAGGTACACATAGGATTTGCCTTCTCACCCATGCACAGTGGCCTTGGCTCTCACAGTCCTTCTCCAGCATGTGCCACTTGTTGGCCTGGACATCGTGGTGCCCCAGTTGGTGGGCCAGGTACTGGCCAGAGCCCTGGAAGAGTAGGAGGGGGAGTCCCTGATCATGAGATGTGGGGCAGGCGTGGAGGGGACTGGATGGGTCTCTGGGGGGCTGCCTGAGTGCTGATAGCACTGGCCAGGAGCCCAGGCCGTGCCACGAGGAGGCCGGGGCTGTAGTGAGCCACCCACATGCTACAGCTTAGACGTCATGCAAGTTTGCTGTCAGGTTTTGCAAAGGGTCTCATTGTAGAAGATCCTCCTTCTGCTCCTAGTGGAGAAAGAATCTGGATTGTGAATAGGCATTGAGCTGTCAGACTTGGGGCTTTTCTTCTCAAATTAGTTAACGTAAATGAATTGCGTTATTTTATGATTTCAAAATAACCACATAGTCTTAAAATAACCCGTTAGAGAGCCTGTCGATTTCCGTGTGGTGGGGCTCTGTCGGCCTCTCAGTAAACTAAGCTGCACCCCCTCCCCTGTTACCCCTCTCTGCTTATGGTGTTGGGGTATGGGGAGTCCCAGAATCAAGGCAGGCATCCCCTCCTCTCCTGACCTCTGGATAAGCTGGTAGGGGGTCTGTTTTGTGAGTGGCCATGGGTCGCTGTTTTCTACTGGGACAGGTGTTTTCTCTGCAAGGAAGGCTTGATTTTCTTCTTGGACTGATTTAGGTTTCTGGATTTGGGGGTGGGGGGAGTGGTAAGTTGCCTTTTTCTAAGAATTTGTCTCTGGGCATAAAAACCTTTAAGATATTTTATTTCTTTTTTTTTAATATTTTATTTATTTATTTGACAGACAGAGAT